TTATATCCATACGCTTACAAGGAAGCCCAGTAAATACCACTATCATTCAGATATATGAACCAACAACCAGAGCCAATATTACCATAGCTACTTTATTTCATTGTGTTCCATTTTACTGTTGCTGTTGTGGTTATGTGCCGTCAAGTCACCTGTGACGCATAGCGACCCACTGTACAACAGCTCTGAAGCCTGCCCTGTCCTGAGTCAGTCTCACTGACTCCGACACCCCTATCCCCATTGCCCCAGTTACTGTGTCAATCCATCTCATCCGGGGGTCTTCCTCTCCTGAGCTGTCCACCCTTCAGAGCATGATGTCCTTCTCCAAGGACTGGTCCCTGCTGGCCATGTGCCCAAAGTATGTGAAATGGAGCTTCAAAATTTTAGCCTCCAAGGAGAAACTTGGTTTCACCCTCTCCAAGACAGACCTATCACATATACCATGACATGTAGTTTTGTTCCCATTTTACATGTGAAAGGAATTCAGAGAAGTTCAAGAACTTACCCAGGTGTCAGAGCCAGCAAGTAATGGAGTCAGGATTTGAATCTAGTTTTCTTGGATCCAAATTCTACTTTGAAGTAGGTGGTACAACCTCCTGACTTAGTGGCATCCACTTCCATAAATAACTTGCCTCCAGAAACCCTATGAACCTGGAGAGAGGACGAAAGTCACACAAGTGTTGAGGACTCTCCTTCATAGGGTTGCTATGAGTCGCCTATGACTCGACGGCACTTAACAACAACGACAACGACAACCTCCTGACTCGTCCTCAGGGTCTACATTTGGTCCCCAGAACATATGATCGAATTGGAAAAGGAGACCTAAGGCGGAAAAGGGAAAGCTGGTATAGATTCATAGGCCAGGCTCTGGCTCACGGCCCGTCTCCTTTCACTGGGTGGAAGGACAGGTGCTGTGTGACTCCAGTAAGAGGATTCCTCTTCACTCAGTGATGATGGTGACATCTTAGAGCCCACATTCTGCTTTCCTTGTTCAAGGTGAGTCCTTACTCTGCCTACGTTCATGATGCAGCCCTGCTTTACGCTCGAGCAATGGAGGTGATGGTAAAGGCTGGGGGAGACTTCCGGGACGGGCGGCAGCTGGTCCAGCATCTGAAGGGCTCCAATGGCACTGTGCCGCAGGGTAAGTGGCCTGAACTGCTGACGGCCTGGCCTCCTGAGCTTTGCCCTGCTGTACTGGCAGCTAACGGCCTCTTTAGACTGGCCATCACTGTTGTACACAACTCATAGAGACCCTATGAACAAAAGACCTGAGCACTTGTATAACTTTCATCATTTCTCCAAGTTCATAGAGTTTCCGGAGGCAAGCTGCTTTGGAAGTGGTTGCCAATTCTGCTCCCAAGTTTGTTTTAATCAGGGAGCTCCGCCAAACATTGTCCGCCATGGGTAACTATTATCACATTTGACACATCAGTGTCACAGTGTTCAGCATCATAGTAACCACGAGTTATCTCTGTACAGCAAATAGACAGACCAGTGCTATACCACTGTTGTTGTTGTTAAGTGACATCGAGTCGCAGGCGACTCATAGTGACCCTATGAAGGAGAGTCCTCGATGCTTGGGCGCCTTTCATCCTCTCTCCAGGTTCATAGGGTTTCTGGAGCCAAGTTATTATGGAGGTGGATGCCACTCCTCCTTCCAAGCTTGTTTTAATCGGGGAGCTCCACCCCACTGTCTGTCCGCATTGGGTAACCAACCACTAACGCATTTGACACATCAGTGTGACAGTGTTCAGCATCATAGTAACCACGAGTTATCTCTGTACAGAAAATGGACAGACCAGTGCTATACCACTAGCTTCATAAAAATTTTGATAAAAAATAAAACTCAGGAGTATGTGATCTCTGTCCTGGGTTCACACCTAGGATCCCTCTACTCTGCTCCCTGAGGGGACTCTTGGCCCGACTTGTGACACAGAAACTGCTAGTGATAGCATCCCTCTCACCTTCCTTTGCTTGCAGAGGCACGTGGAGATTCGTTACCATCATTGTGAAAACAGACCACTCGCCTTAGTCTTTTTGTGCAAGTCTTGCTTGTAAGACAGAGATAACATTTCTTATCAGATATAATAGAATTCCTGGGTGCTGCAGTTAACCTTCTTAGCTGCTAACTGAAACTCTGGGTAGTTCAAGTCTGCCCAGAGGCACACAGGAAGAAAGGCCTGGAAATCTTCTAAAAAAGAAAAATCAGCCATTCAAACCCCTGCAAAGCCCGGCTGTACTCTGGATCATACAGGACAGCTGTGAATCACCATTTTACCATGTTTACTGTGTTACCATGTTGCTGCTGGGTGCCTTGAAGGTGATTCTGATTTATAACAAAACTATGAGACATGGTAAAACCAAGAATCCCTGGTGAAAACAGCTTCTAATCAAAAGGTCTCTGGTTTGATCTAACCAGTGGCTTCACGGTAAAGAAACCTTGTGGCCTGCCTATGGGGAAATCACAGACTCCAAAATGATAAACCTTACGGAGCTTCTTGGTTTTACCAGGCACAGTGATAGTAACCAGCATTTTGGAAGGTTTACCTTTTTCGCAAAGCTGTGTGCCAAAAGTTTGTGTGTTCTTTCATTTGGTCCTCACACAGCCTATCAGGCAGGTGGTCTCACTGCGCCAATTGTTGGGAGCGTTAAGTGATTTAACTGAGGGTAGAAAGTTTCTATACCTTACCTAAGATAATAGCGCCATTAGGTGGTGTAACCGGGATTTAGACTAAGGCTTACCTTTTATTAGAATTCATGCTCTTCATGGCTGCTTAAAATACTGAGGAGACACTGAATCACTGAATCGTATCACATGCTTGGCACATGTTGTCATGTGCCACCGAGTCACCTGTGATGCACAGCGACCCTCTGCCCTATATAACTCTAAACCCTGCCCTATCTGGAGCCACTCTCACTGTCTCAGACTCATACTTGTTGCTTATTCTCTTTCTTTCTTTCTTTTTTTTTTTTAAGGCTTATCACTCACTTAATAAAATGATGGCTTAACATGTTGTCTGATTGCGAGACTGCTGTTTGGAGCTTTTATAGACTTCTTGTTGGTACCACGGAGCTGGCTCACAGCACCTTCATACAACAGTGAAACTGGCCTGGTTTTGCGCCATCACACAATCTCTGCTTTGTTTGAGGCCATTGTTGTCATTGCTTGCCTTGTTAATGCTCTTCCTTCTTCTCATTGACCCTCTGCGCCCATAGGTCATGTTTAACCTGTCAACAGACCCTCTCCAGGTGAAAACATCATACCACCTCCTTTCCCTTCTTCCTCCTCTCCCTTCCAGACCTTGAGCCTTTTGTGTAAGACAAAAAATGAGATCCGCTCTCTGAGTGCATCCAGTTTAATCTTCTCTGTCAAGTGAATTTCTTTCCTCCCCCCTACTATTTTAGAAATTCCTGATTCAGGACTTAGGGGAGGGTGTGAAGGGCAGAAAGATCATTTGGCAGAATCCACAGCTCCTTAAATGTGGTTACTGGCGACCTGAGAGGTGGGGAAGGTAATTCTGTTGATCCAAATCAGGTGGTTATCATTTTGAGCCCAATGTTCCTCGCTGCCCTCCTGACTCTGCTCAATCTCCCTTTTTTTCCAGGCATTACAGGCCCTGTGCATGGTGTGGACTCCCAGGGAGAAAGATCCATAGGTGACCTGGTCTATGCCCTCCAGAAGTCAGGAAATGGGTCTACTTTTCTTCCTTTTCTTCACTATGACAGCGCCCAGAAAGTCGTCAGGTACTGGTGGGGCCTATCTGTGAAGCTCAAACAGTTAACGCGCTTGACTGCTAATTGAGGAGGTTGAGGCTTGATTCCACCCAATGATGCCTTGGGAAGAAAGGCCTGGCAATTTACTTTTGGGAAATGAGCCAGTGCAAACCCTACAGAGCACGATTCTGCTCTGACATACACAGGGCCACTGTGAGCTGGAATCAGCTGATTCCTGGAATCAGGAAAATGCAGAGAGAGATCTCATTGTAGGAAGATTCCGGGATGAAGGAGGGTCCTGCTGGGGTTGGAGGATGATCTCCAGACACTTAGAACTCTGAGACCAGACTCATCATAACTGATGTTCTACCCTTAAGGAGACCTGGCCCTTCTGTGAAGCTTGACTACTTTAGGTTGCAGTTTGGAAACTGGTACCCCTAGCTCCACCTCCACCACCCCAGGACTCCTGTAAGTCTCCTTGGAACTGGTTCCCACTGACAGATTGACTTGGGATTTCTTTACCCAAGCAGAGTGCTCCAAAATTTAGAGCATGTGTTGGAGTGCAGGGCTAACCACGTGACTGGCAGTCAATGATCAAATTGACCTTGACAGTCTGATGGCAAAACGGACACATGGGCACCAAGATCTAAATACTACCGTGGGCTCTCCATCCCCCAAGCCCCAAACATGTCACTGTTCAGGCGACTCTACCCATGGTGACCCCAGTTTGCAGAGCACTGCTGCATGATGGGGCTTCCTTGTCTGTAAGATTTACGGAAATGTTTCTTCTGCACTGCCGCTGGGGGGGTCTGAACCACCAGCCTTTAGGTTCATAGTTAAGTGCAAACTATTTGTACCACCTGAGGACCCTGGAAAGAGCTTTGTTTGGGGCAAGAGGAAATTCACTAATTTATTTCCTGGTAGTAGGAAATAAAACACAGAACAAAGAAGCTTAAAATTTCCTTCCATTTCTGCTCGCCCCACAATTACCACACTTAATTCTGATCAATTTGAGATTCTTTCTCTTACTTTTATGAAATTTTAATATACCATAAATGAGTCAGCTAAGGAAACAAAATAGCCGCGGCAAACAGATCTCCAGTGTTCCAGAAGGAGGCACAGGGTCTCATCTGGGTGATGAGAAGGTGTCATCTAATGAGATCTAGAGCAAGGCTAGGGGGTGGAAATCCCAGAAAACTGGAGAATTGGCACTTTCCCTTTCCAGTAGAAAAAGACATGATTTAAATCAGGAGACCAATTCAGCTATTCTATCCAGCAAGCACACATTTCTCTTCTGTGAGTTAGGTGACCTGAGAGCTGGATTTGGAGAGTTTAGTGAGATTGGAAATCAGATCAGTGAAAGTTTGAATGAAGATACCAGGGTCTACTTAAAAAACCACACAAACCAAAACAAAACACGTGTGATTTGGTTGCTGCAGACACACCTGAGGCAGTGACAATTAGAATAAACTGAATGAGCTATCTCCTGTCTCTTTCTTTAGACCCATGAGGAATTTCTCCAATATTAGTTTGCCCCATGGTTCTCTTCCTGAAGACAGACCTGACTGTGTCTTTTACAATGAGCTCTGTGATGCTGACCCTACTTTTACAGGTACAGTTGGGGTAATGGGAGTAGGTGTGTCAGAGAAAGTGAGGTTGGCACAGGACAGAGCAGGGTTTAAGGCTATTGTACATAGGGTTGCTTTGAGTTGCAAGTGACTCCATGGCACATAACAACAACAACAGCATGGCCACTTAGAGAAGTTGGCATGAAGAGCTTGTCTGTGGCAGAATTCCTTCACTGTAAGACCATTGATGTTCTGAGCTGGGTGATTCTTTGTTGTGTGTAGAGCCAATTCTGTGAACTGGAGGGTGTTTAACAGCATCCTTGGCCTTTAAACACCAGGTGCCAGTAACACCTCTTTAGTTGTAAAAACCAAAATAGTCTCCAAATTCTGTTGAGTGTCCCCTAGAGGGCAGAATCCAGTCCATTCTCTTGAGATGGAACCCTGGTGGCCTAGTGGGTAAGGCATACTATTCAAATCCCCCAGCTCCGCTGCAGAAGAAAGTGGACAGACTCTTCCTGTACAATATACAGCCTCGAAATATCTGATGGAGGATCAGCTATCAGTCAGTTCTGATTTGATGGCATATAACAAAATTTGTGTTGCGAGACACTGTTCTAGGGAAACTTGGCTCAGGATCTTTATTTTGGAAAGGGTAAGAACGTGGGCAGGGGAGTTCTGCCCTGTGGTTAACAGTTCAGTCCCTGGAGTTAGATGGATCATACCTAGAGAACGACCCTAAGGCCAGCATGTCCTAAATTCCCTGCCATCCAGTCCACTGGGTTTCCAAGAATTGTAAATCAAATACCAAATGATTGGTCATTTGGATTTAATTAACAGCCATTTGTGGGCTGGAAGCCTCTTATTTAAACCAACCAGGACCCAGTGGGTGGGCCTTTGTGATTAAAAATTCAGTGGGCCTTAGGGCCACAGGTTCTTGGTCCTGGTGTGAAGACTGATTTGCTTTTGAGTTACAAACTAAACTGGCAGTTTGTTGTGTTCTCTTCAAAGAGAACATTGTTCAAATGGTACAGCATTTGTCTGTCAGTTTGCTGTAGTGAGATAACTTGTGAGTTGCTGGGATACTGAAAACTGTGCCACTGGTGTGTCAAACGCCATAAAGGGTACTACTGCTGGATAGGTTTTAGTAGAGCTCCCAGATTAAGACAGATAAGGAAGCAGGATCAGCCATCAGCTTTTTAAATAACAGGCCTTTGAAAGCCCTATGCTCTGTGAATGCTGCAATGGGCTCTAGTGTGTCAGGAAGTGTGAAGATGGCACAGGATAGGACCAGGTTCAGATATGTTGTTCATAGGGTCGCTATGAATTATACTTGACTTGAATGACACCTAACAACAACAACAAAATTGTTATAGGAGAAGAACATCTGTCTTTCTCCAATGAGCAGTTGATCAACTCAAACTGCCAACCTTTTAGTTAGCATTGTAACACTTACTGCACTAGCCCACTAGGGATTCTTAAGGAAAACACACAGTAGGTGGCTAATCAAAGGTGATGGTAGCTTTAGACATTATCATCATTATTACCTCCACAATGGATGGTTCTACACATCTCCACAATGGCATATAGGGGAGGTGGGAGCCAAGCTGTGAAGAGGGCAAGATCCTTGGAAGAAAGGACATCTGAGTGGACCTAACAGAGCTCTCCTGGGGACTGGGCAACTTTTGGGAAGCATCTGGTTAGCAGAGCCATGCTGGGCTGAGGGTACATTTCCCTCTTGGTGTTAGGCTGCTCTGAATAATTGTATGGTTCTATTGTCAGGTGTGACTGCCATGATCCTCAAGCTGACCAGCTTGGTAACTGTCTTGGGAGCTGCCATCATTGGCCTGATTTTAAAGATGCAGAAGAAAAGTGGCGGAGGCAACATAAAGACAAATGGCAAATCAATTATGATGACATCATCATTCTGCCCCAGCGCAAGGTGAGGCCACCTGGCCCAGGCATCCGCTCTCTTGGTCATTGCTGGGTGTTTTTGGAGGAGGTGAGGACAAGGAAGAAGACACTGACTCATTTCAAGAGCAGGAATTTGATGAGGATGAGAACAGTGATGGTTCAGAGGTAGAACTCACTTCTGTGCAGGAGACCTGGGCTCAACCCCTGTCTGTCAGTGGAAGAGTGCATGTTGTTATGATGCAGAACAAGTTTCTGTAGAGCTCACAGGCTAAGACTAGGAAGAAAGGCCTGGTGATCAACTTCTGAAAATTAGTCACTGGAAACCAGCAAGTGTATCACAGCATCCAGTCCACAACAGATCATGAGAATGAGTCGGATGGGGCAGCGTTTCAGTCTGTTGTTCATGTATTTGCCATTATCAGAGGTGGCTGTGTGAGAACTGACTTGGAATTAGCTAATACTAATTAATATCTTAATAACAATGACGAGGGAGGATAGAAGGAGAATTGATGCTTTTGAGCTTTGGAGCTGGAGAAGAGTGCTGAGGGTGCCATGGACTGCTAAGAAAACAAACAGATTCATCCTGGAGAGGATTAAACCGGGCTGCTCCTTGGAGACAAGGATTCTGAGGTTTCGTCTGACATACTTTGGTCATGTTGTAAGGAGGGACATGTCCTTGGAGAGGGACATCATGCTTGGGAGTGTGGAGGGCAGGCGCAGGAAGGGAAGGCCCTCTGGGAGATGGATTGATTCGGTGACTGGGACAATCAGGATGGGTGTATCAGAGACAGTGCGATTGGCACAGGACAGAGCGGAGTTTAGGGCTGTTGTACATAGGGTTGCTATGAGTCGCAAGCGACTCGATGGCACATAACAACAACAACCTTAAATCTTACAACCTTATACCTGAGTTCTATTTCCGGGATGCTGCTTACTTGATTCTCTGAATTTGTAAGTGTTATTGAATAGTCTTTGAAATTCCCTTCAGCTCTGTTTCTCTGAGTGTTTACAAAGTCACATATCCTGGTCAAATAGGAAAGTGTGTCCTGATCAGTGTTTATTTTCAAAACCACAGGAACACCTTTATCCCAGCGATGACTTAAACTGTGAGGCTCATTTGCTCAATGCTTGCCTGTTGCATCCACTGTATTCAAGCCTAGAGTCTGTACTGAGTCAGGGCTGGGTGCAGAGATCCAACCACAAGAGAGATGGGGACAGAATGGTGAGCCCTGCAGTGGGATTGCCACAAGTCCCTCACATCTGGAAGACTTCAGAAGGGAAATGGCTTTGGGGAGGCATGGGCTTGTTAAATGCTAACAAGGAGAATATAACCCAGGGTATTTTGGACTTGGGCAGTTCAAGGACTTGAGATGGGCTCAAAAGTTGGCAGACACCAAGTCAGGGAGGGTTGTTTCAAGATGCTAAGCCCAGGAACCTGAGATCTGTTGGTAAAAATAATTTCAGAACATTTCTGGGATTCTAGAACTTTTTCTGATTTCTGAATTGGAAGATGAAGTGAATACCCAGCCCAGAGCATTCTGAGCTGGTCCCTTCCCTCACCTGCTTTCTTCTCTGTAGTTATAAGGTTAGGACCAGAACTTCTTTGAAAAAATTCCTCTGCCTTTAACGATGTTCTTTAATGATGATTAAATGCTTAGTTATTAATTGAAAAGCCAAGTGTTCAAACCCACCACTGCCATAAAGATTGTGGTCTAAGAAAAGCTATAGGCCAGTTCTACTCTGTTAGGGTCACTGTGAGTCTAACTGGATGAATATGCAGCAGTAGAAGCAACAACAGTTGTAGGATTGCTAGGTGGACATTCAGGAGGGTGATTCTGGCCCTAGGACGTACAGGTGGGTAAGTGGTAGAGCAGGAACTTGAATCTTAATCACTGCCCTCTTCTGTGCATGGTGGTCCAGACAGCAAGGATGACGAGCGTAGCGGCTGGGAACTCATACTTCAAGGACAACAAGACCAACTCATGTCCTCACTCTCCCTCATTACTGATTCTGGCATGGGGTTTCCTCCTCCATAAAATGCACGGCTCCTTCAAGACGTGGCCATGCCTTGTCTCGTGTTTTACAGCCATCCCAGAGGGGGACACCCGTGTCGAGAGGGAACCACAGTAGCATGTCTAGTGTGATGTTTTCTGGGCACTTCAGCTTCTTCGGCCAGCAGGGGGATGAGCTCTCATATGCGCCCGTAGGACTTTACCAGGTATGTAGCTACGTACAGGGCTTAGCATGGTTCGTCACATATCTTTTTCTGTGGGGCAAACATTCTAGACAGAGGGATATTCTTGGCACAGTGGTTAAGTGCTGCTGATGGACACGCTGATGGTTCAAATCCACTAGCTACTCTATAAGAAAAAGATGTGGCAGCCTGTTTCTGTAAAGATTATAGCTTTGAAAACCTTATAAACCTCCAAACTAATCTCACTGCCATCAAGCTGAGAGTCTAGAGCAAACCTACAGGATAGAGCAGAACTTCTCAGAGTTTCTGAGACTATAATTCTACCACTTAATCCACCACATCACCAGTGTGCCTGTTGAAACCCTCTGGGACAGTCTACTCAGCCCCTGAGGTGGTTTGGGGGCACAGAATTGACTTTATGTAAAGGGTTTGTTTGGCTTTGCTGTCCACACACAAAAGCCTTGATTTGATGTTCTTGTAACTGCCATGTGATGGTCTTATCACTAGGTCTAGGTTAGGACCTGAGGTTCTGGCAAACTCCCCGGTGATTCCTATGCTGCTAGTTATGGCTGTATTTTGAGGAGCATGATGTTTAATCTGTATTCAGATCTGTCTAATAGGCATTTCTGGGATGACAGGAATGTTCCTGGTTTGTACTGACAAGCTCAATGACACAGGGATAATGCACTTAGTGGCTAACCAGGAGGTTTGTGGTTTGAATTAGCGGCTCTCTGAGAGAATGGCGTGGCTCTCTGCTCCTGTAAAGATGACAGCCTGGGAAACTGGACTGGACATTCTACTCTGTCCCATGGGCCACTACTAGCTGACTCATCAGTGGCACCAAACAACAGCCACTTGTTTCTGCATGTGCATCAGAGGAACTGAATTGCCAATTGAATTCTGATTGATTTCAATGTAAGTAACTCCTGTTAGGTGCCCCATTGGACAGTACAGACCTCCAGCTTGGACTATTTCATTCCTGGTTCTTGAGCACCGATGGCTCCACTGGTGGATGTTGGCTCCTGAGACTCTTGCAGTATGAACAGTGGCAGCTGCTGAAAGCGGAAGCCTTAATTCCCACTGGCCTCGGACCCCACTCCCAGACCTTGACAGTTGCCTGCACTGGGTAGCTCTGGTGGTGTAGTCTGTAGCGAGTTGTGCTGTCAACCCAAAGGCCACCTGTTTGTGGTGGTTCAAAGCCACCAGCGCCTCCAAGGTGGAAAGATGGGGCTATTTCCTCCTCTAAAATCTGAGAAATCCACAGTTGTCCTGAGTTGGAACTGACTCGACTGGCAGTGAGGCTGAGTTATTGAGTGAAGTAGTATTTCAGGAGTTCAGATCCCCTGAGAGGAATGAATGTAAAGAACAGAAATTTGTATTTAACCTTGAGGTCCTAAGCAGTAGGGGTAGAAAGCTCCAAGCTAGCGAAGATGGATACATCCTAGGCTCTGGTCAGGTTTAGCAAAGATTAAAGTCTAGGCAATCTGAAATTATTTTTTTCCTAAAAGTTTATTTACTTGGGTTTAGAAATGAAAGTCATCCTGGGATTACCAAGGACTCAAAAGAACCACCATTTAGCTTGACAGCCTTAGTTAATGTGAGCTCTAAGGGCAAAGAGTCCAAATTAATGAGATGAAACAGAATGGGTAAAGATAGTGAAAATAGTGACACAATGAAGTATGTAACCAATATCATTGAACTGCACAGTTAGAAATCTTAATGGCTATACATTTGGCTATGTATATTGTCATCATAAATAAATATTCTTTTCTTTAAAAAAAGAACTACCATTTGGAGAAAAGTACATGTTGTGATCAATAGCCATTTAGAAAAGAACGTTAGCACATCTGCCATACATCATGCCCCTCCTCTTCCTTAAGCATAGTCATGGGCTATCCTATGTCAATGGTTTGCACAATAGACTTGTTCAAACTCTAACAAAGGACTCAAGACTCTCTAGCATCTAGGTCTCTACTCTTCCGGATCTCTGGTCTGTCTCAATTTTGAGCTCATCCAATTGGCCTTATCAATTACGGCATGTGTATGACATAGTGTGACAGTGCCATGACTGCTTCCCTTTGTCCCATCCCTCTGGACCCTTCTTACCCTGAAAAGTTCAGCTTAAGGGACATCTTTTCCAAGATGACCTTCTATCCCACATGGGTCTCTTCCTCCTTGGGACTCCCAGGTCAGTGTTGTGTCATCTGTAGTTAATCCCACACTGCCAAGAGGCAGATCTTGGGCTGGTAAATATTTGACTTGTACTGACAGATTCCATCTCCTCTATCTAGCTTTTTATACATTGTAAGTCCTGGTGGTGATTAATTAAGTGACTCTATAAAAGCTAACGTGAAGAGATAAAAACAGAAGGAAATGAGCAAAGAAGGCAGAGGAGTTCAGCACCATGTAGAGAGAAGAGGCAGGAATGAAGTATGTCTTTGGGGCTCAGTTTCTTAGACTAGGAAACTCCTAGAGACAGGAGACACAGAAAGAAAGCTTTTCCCTGCAGTTGAGACCATGCATTTAGACTTCTAGCTTCTTAAATTTTGAAAGAATAAATTTCTTTAATAAAGGCTATGGTCTTTGCAATCACTTGCTATATGTCAGAGAGTTGGACAATGACTAGGGAGGATAGAAGGAGAATTGATGCCTTTTCAATTGTGGTGTTGGAGAAGAGTATTGAATATATAATGAACTGCTAAGAAAACAAACTGGTTAATTCTTGAGAGGGTTAAACCAGGCTGCTCCTTGGAGGCAAGGATTCCAAAGCTTCGTCTGACATACTTTGGACATGTTGTAAGGAGGGACCAGTCCTTGGAGAAGGGTGTCATGCTTGATAGGGTGGAGGGGCAGTGCAGGAGAGGAAGACCCTCTATGAGGTGGATTGAATCAGTGACTAGGGTAATTGGGGTGGGTGTGTTGGAGACAGTGAGATTGGCACGGGACAGGGCAGGATTTAGGGCTGTTGTACATAAGGTCGCTATGAGTAGCAGGCGACTCAACAGCACGTATCAACAATAACAACAAAAAGAAAAATAAAAAAGCCCCCAAAACAGCCAACTAAAAACCTTTTCAGATAATAACAATCTACTAAACCCCTAATACGTACCAGGCATCATGTTAAATCCCTCAAAATCCCAAATGCATCACCACGGAGTTGACTGACCCACAGTGACCGGCCACTGGAGTCCCCCCTCTGAATCTTTAGGGGAGGAGACTGTCCATTGTTCTCCAGGGAAGCAGCCGGTAGATTTGAACCACTGACCTTTCACTTAGCAGCATAACACAGACCACACTGTGCCACCAGAGTGCCTTATTAAGTGTTCATTTAATCCTCACATTAATCCTATGAGATACCAGAAACCAATCGTGTTGTAGGTTAGTGTGTTCTGACTCAAAGTGACCCTGTAGGATGGAGTGGCATTTCCTAGAGCTTCCAAGGTTGCAAATACTTATGAAAACAGATGCAGAGCTTTGTTCTGTGGTGTGGCTCCTGGGCTCGGGTCACTGACATTTAGGGTAGTAGCTGACCACTTACTCTCTGTGCCACCAGGGCTCCTTTGCTATGAGAAAATATTATCCAAGTGTTTCCAAAGCCCATTTACACGTGAGGAAATGGAGTCTCAGAGAAATTACATTACCTCCTCAAGGCTAGGCACATGGTGGTAGAGCGGTGCCTTGAACCCAGGCACTTGACTCCAAACTCTTAAGACCCAACATTTTCACAACAAAGTAACATTGCTATATAATAGAAATTATGTGGAACAGTGCAAGATTGCTTTTACATGTGTCAAGGGGATGACTTCCAAAAGAGGGCCAGAGGCCTCTTCGAGTAAGAACCAGAAAGTTCTGACTCGGATATACAAGAAAGACACCAATACCAAGTGAGAGCAGGAGAAAGAAACTGAGGTTTATTAGACATTCATAACAGACTATGAACGGGTCAGGGCAGACTAACTTCATTTTTATCTTACAAAAGGGTTTCTATATCTTTTGTTAGCAGGGAGTGGGCTTTAAACAGCTGATGGGGCATTCCTTTTAATGGGTGTATGGTGACTTTGGCCATCTCCTTTTTTTTTTTCTTTATTTGTAGTTAAAATAAATTTTTTTTTGCACCATCAGTATCTCTATTGTCCTAGGCTACCTCAGTGGCCAGGGTCATATTCTTTAAAATTTTTTTAATAATTATATTTTATTAATTTTCATA